TTTGAGAAAGCAAGGCTATGTGAAATGCACCAGAAGCGTCAGCTCAACTGATATCATTTTGTGAAAATTTTACTACCAGTCTTTCATCAGCTCAATCGAAAAATGGTGAATACATATCATGTGTTAAATTCTTTGTGAAAGTAAGTTGATTGTGAGAAAAATGCAACCAACATTCTTCGTATCAGTTTACCCGAAATGGGTGGAATGCCTTCCGCGTTTAACGCTTTCTAGCCCTGAGGATGTCCTTGATTGCGAGACGTGCCAACGAGATGAAGACTTAGCACGTGTTAACCGGTGCTGCAGGTCTGTAGCGCGGGTTCTACTTCGTTTCCTTCAACAGTTACACGTCGAAAGCCATCCTTCTCGAACTAATCTACCCATCCCTTTCCTTCGTCGTCAAGCCGTACATCGGACGCGAAACCGGTTAAGAGGTGGCCACATGCGGACTGGGGAGGAAAGGTAATCGGGTGGCCATGTGCTATCAAAAAAAGACATCTGACCGTCACCTCCAGATCGGCGCGCTCTCGGTCGAGGACATCCGTTCTGGCTCTCAGTTGGGCGTAGTCCTCGCTCTCCAGACGCAGATCTCGCTCCAACTGAGCGATGCGCGTCTCCGATTGGTGCACTCGGTTCTCGGCGTCCCGGGCTCGAGCCCCGGTGTCCAGAGACTCGCGCTCTGCAGCCTCACAGCGCCGCCGCACCGCTTCCAACTGCTGTTGCAGGTCGATGACGACTCCTTTTTCATGCTGAAAATGGGGAAAATGGGCAAGCATGCAAAATCGTGTCACAGTGCGATTGGGTAGCGACAAAAAGAGGACAAAATTGGCGCAGGAGACTGGAATGTGAAGAGGTCACCACCAGCTACTAGTATGTACATTCTATTGGGCAAAATGGGCAAATATTTTTGAGTTTTGCAAGCAATAATCATCTCTTGTACACGAACGCTGCCCGTTTTGGATGCGAAGAGTAACTGGGCTTCAATGGATCTCTTAAGATAACCTTGTCGGAGAGACTTTCATTCCGTATGAAAGGACATGGAGATGTTGATCTGACCCGAAGACGACGGTTTTAAGACGTCGAATTCACGCCAGACGTCATCAGTACAGCGCGGATTAGCCGTCTTCTTTTTTTGGTGGGATCAACCTAAGAATCTCTTCTTCATGCACTTTTATACGCAATAAAAGTCTACTCAGCAGTACCCTTTTTGCGCACAGAATGCGTTCGAATCCAGCTTATTCCTTACTTCTACAATATGCAATGGAATAGGGGCAGTAGAGTGAAAGGACGGTTTTACGCAAACAGTTTAATTTGAGTGCTGTCTTTCCTGCAGTTGCAGCCCCACAGAAAGCATGAATTCGACTCGGAAGAGTCTCTAACAAAGACTAATGCTGAGTCCATCTGAAAGCAAATTGCCCCAGACGAAGGACACAATAGATGAGAATCTTGAAAAAGTGAGTCCTTTATTGAATGTATCCCAAAACCTTGGATCAAGAGCTGTGAAAAGCAAAATGGCCAACAATTTACTCTCACCGAATTTCTTTAAGCAAAAGCAGAGGTCTGTAAATCTGTGAGAGCTTGACAAAATGATATTATAATTGAAGACTTTTAACCATTCCACCTCCAACTTACTGACCTCCTGTGCTAAATTCGCTTATCCGGTAAAGCTAATGTTCACTTTTATTCAGCGTTTAAAATGAATTCAGCTCCAGCATCCGCTGAACAATATACATGAGTAGTATAGCAAGTTATGATTTTATTGGATTAGAAAAATACTCCAATTTAGTGGGCTGAGGAAATATCAGTAGACCTTAAAGAAGAA